AGCGGTTCATCATTACTCGGTTCCGCAGACGCATGGTTTCAATACCCCGTACCAGCTTAGCGTGATCCCGCCGCGTATGCGCGCCCAGGCTTCTGTTTTTGGTGGAGCATTTTTGGAGGATTTCCCCCGTGATGCGTCGGTTACAAATGTGCAGATGCAGCATGGAGATGTGCTCATTGTTGCCACTGATGGTGTGTTTGATAATCTCAATAATCAGGATATCCTCAAGCTCATCACGAGCCGGATGGTTATGACTGGCGCGTGGACGGCTACAGCGTCTGGCGTTGGGGTCTCGGAGAACCTGCGTGCGCTAGCTGCGCCAGGTGGATTGGCTGATGCTCTTCCCATTCTATCGGGCTCGCCGCTTTCCAAGGACCCGGCTAATACCGAGTCTGGACCTGAGGCTGGAGTCACGTTGCAGTCTGTTCTTGCGGCCACGATTGCTGGAGAGACGAAAATTGCTAGTGTCGACTATCGCCGCGATGGGCCCTTTGCTAAGGAGGCTCAGCGCTACCACCCTGGTGACTATTACCGTGGTGGAAAAGTTGATGATATCTGCGTTGTGGTTGTCATCGCGGTCGACGATAGCGTTGCTGCGAGTGAGGCATGAGTAATTTGGACAGGAAATCTGGGGATTTCGTTGAACCGGCGTCATACCATGTTTTCTTTTTTTTATTTGGGTTTGAGGAGCATGATGTATAACTGCATCCATATATAGAAGGCGTAGGGATTTTTGATTTTTACAAAGAGCCGGGTATGTAAGCGCTTCCCTGTCGATACGTTGACTACATTCAAATAGACATTTTATAGAGATAACCTCAATCGCATGGAATGGGACTTTCCACAGAGTCTTATATACGTTTTACTGATTTACTGATTTACTGATTTACTGATTTACAAAACTGCCATTATGGATCCTTGTATTCAAGAACTTAATAGATGTAGCGAAGGAGACATAACCCCTCCATTACGTACCTTTGGGGACCCTTCTGTTCATTTTCACGTCATAAAACAACACTCTCTCCGATACTCCGGGCCCAATTTAGTACACAATGGACTCGACATCGAAAGAGATCATTGGCGTGCAACCTCTGGGAAAAGATCCAGAGCCAGGTAACTCCCATGCTCCATGGCCAAGACACAAGTCAATGTGCAGAAGCCAATTCAGAAAGAACAATCACATTTTCAATTGATTCAAAGAAGCCTTGCTGGTTGGTCCAGCCCCATATCCCAGTATTGCGTTGGCAGGTGACAAAAAAGATAAAAAAAAAGGAAACAAACCGGCAGAACCGCATAGATTGAAACAGAGACAGAGAAGAGAACATGAATGAGAGCGCAAATAGAAAAAAAAGTAAGAAAACAGACATCGCAAAGTCGTGATTCTTAGACCACTTAAGCAGTAGCCTCGACGGACTTCTCCTCGGACTTCTCCTCGGTGGGCTCCTCAACTGCCTTCTTCTCGGGCTTTTCTTCCTTCTCCGGCTCGGGGGCCTTCTCATCCGCGTCGGGCATTGGAGAATCAACTTCCTTAGTCGACTTGGACTCAGGCTCCTTCTCCTCTTCTGTCTCCAGCTTGGGGGTTTCAACGCCATCCTCCTCCTTAGATCCGTTAGCGGCGGGCTTGTCATCCTTGTCAGCAGGGCCGGGAGTGTCCGCGTCCAGGATATTCTTCCAGCTGGACAAGATGTTCATGGCACGGTGGCGGAAGTTAAACTCCTCATCCCGGGGAATCGAGTTAAGCTTGACAATCATCTTAAGGACCTTGTTAATCTTGGTCGAACGGATGATCGACACTTCCAAGTCCGAGTGCTTTTCTAACTTGTCAAAGTAGCTAGCCATACTGGCCATTTCATCTTCCTTGGGGGGTTGGTCACGGGAGATGAAACCTTTCTGAAGCTTGTGGCGGAGGAATAGAACTGCAATGTACAATAAGCTGGCCTGATCGGGATCGTCGGGGAAGACGGGGGATTGCGTACTCTCTTTCTCCTTCTTCTTTCTCAACTCCTCTGGGTCAATGGGCTTTTCGGATTCTTTAGCATCGGCACTGTCTCCTTCGTCGCTGGCAGCGGGAGCTGCCTTGCCCTTCTTGGCAGGTGCCTTCTTGGTCTTGGAGGGAGTCTTCTTTCCGGTGTCCGCGGCGGGAGCCTTGGGGGTGGTCAACTTGAGCTTGGTGTTGGACTTGGGAGTCTTTGCGGGCTATAATATTGTGAGATGAGCGAGGTCAAAATCACAACGATCCTGTTACACATACCTTTTCCGCTTCAGCATCGGTCTCGACATCCTTCTTGCGCTTCTTGGAAGGAGCCTTGGATTTCTTGGAGTCATCCGCATCTTCCATTTCAACATCGGTCTCAGCACCCTTGCTCTTGCGCTTACCCTTCTTGGCCTCCTTTGCGGCCTTGGCAGCTGCCTTCTCTGCTTCCTGAGCTTCAAACTCAGCTTCTTCTTGGTCAATAGCTGCCTGGTGCTCGTTCAGGAGCTTCTTGAAGTACTGAAGGTTGTGGCCCTCGGATGCGACCTTGTAGGCATTGACGAGTGATTTGCTTTTATTCTTCTCGGAGATGTTTTTGCACTCGGCAGGGTCGAGGGGGGTCAAGTTGGTGTTGGGAACCCAGGCACTGTCAAAAATTAGTCAGTAGCAAGTTCGTGTCTAGCGTAGCGGCCGCGCGGATGTTGACTCACAACTCATTGGTGTCGAAGAACATGACGGGGAAGGTACGCTCATGGGCGCGTCTGCCATCGTCACCATACTCGCCTTTGTAGGATCCATCCTTCTGCATGGCGGTAACGGGACGAGTTTCAAGCAAGCTGGGGGGAAGAATGCCCTCGTCACAGATGATAGCCGGCCAGGGCGCATAACTGCGAAGACGGGCAAGATAGGTTTGGCCGGGCTTAGCGTCCAGGTGGGTGATGCGACTCTGGGACTTCTTGCGGCTCAGCTTCTGAGTGGCACCGGTGGAGGTGCGACGGTTCTTGGAGGACTTCTTTGCTGAGGCAGGGGTTCCGTTGGCCACTGCGGGCGCAGCAGCCTCTGCATCGACAGGTGCAGCCTCGGCGGTTTCACCATCGGCCTTGGCCTCGGGAACTTCATTAGAGGTAGGCTTATCAGCCTCAGCTTCAGCGTCCGCCTTCTCGGTCGCGGCTTCAGTCTCTGGAAGAAACAGTGGGTTAGTGTCGCACAGAAACAGGATGTCCCGACCGGGGGACAGGGTTGAGAGATAGAGGCGCAAAACAATTGATTGATATCAATCAGTCGATGCTTACCGGCAGGCTTGTCTTCCGACATAGTCACATCCTCAGACTTCTTTTCGGAGTCAGTGGGTTGCTCAGTAGTGCGCTCGGGCTGGTCGCCCTCGACGGGCGCAGACACAGGGGTATCATCAGCCATAGTGGCAAGCTAGGATGAGATAAGTAAAAAATCAGTAGGCGATTGGTAGATTGAAGCTGGGGTAGGTGGTGGGAGGGAGCTTCCAGGGGAGGTGTAGGAGAGATGTGGAGAAGAGAAGAGAGTCGCGAAAGGCGCGGGAACTTCAAGACGCGTCTGAGAACGGAAGACCCCCAATGACGCCACAACTTTCAAGTCACCGCACAACAAGTAAAGCGATGAATTGGTGATGATGATGATGAGCATGGTTTGTTTTGTTTTTGTCAGATCTGAACAGCCTGGGGGAATGGTATTTGGGATGGACAATGAAAGAGGATGGCATAATGCACATAGGGGGTCGAGATATCTCTAAATAGCTACATACCTCTTTGATGTAGACTATAGGTGCGTCGCAATGGGAGCATGTATTGGAGATGTCACGAAGGATTGTCAACTCCTACGTGGTGAAGAGGGGAGACTGGGATTGTGGGATTGTCTATCTCACAGATCGTAGGCCGACGTTTCGATGTTTCGAAAGCGAAGGAACGACCGAGACTCTTTCTGATCAAGACTCTTTCTGATCTCTGTCTCGCAGGTCGATCGCATATAGCACACAGCAGATGAAGGGTTTGTTGCCTCTCTTGCTGTCTGCCTTCACAATCACCGTATATCTTGGCAACACTGCGCATAAGCAATCGGTGATATGCAGTCAATTGGTTGTTCTCGAAGAATATCTTCCGGTCATTCATTCACAGATGGCATATACCATACTGTCAAGTGCCAAGAGATGTCTTGTATATTGGTGTTGGGCACGATTCAATCACATTTGCCTTCAGTCGCAAGCAGTCTTGAATCTCTTTGCAAGCAATCGCAATTTATCAAATAGATTGCCAATATAGATTGAGGTCGTCGACCGTTATCGAGATCGTATCGAATGATTTTGAGAATGACATGCAATCACTTCAATGTGAGCAGATCGTGAAATGAACGGTCATCTAGGGAGCTTACGACTCGGTACCTTTGTGATTTCACGTTATTAACTCGCGGTGCCCGTGTCGGCGACGGGGACCACGTATACGTGAAGCACAATATAATCGGTATTGTTGGATGTTGATTTAAATGGGGATGGGTGAATACGAGGGATAAACGAAACAAATCGAATGGGCCCTGAACGCATCTAAAGTTGTATGTAAGTGCAACCCACTAAGGATGATGCGATTTGGCTTTTTCTGATCTGATGCCTTTTTTTTTTTTTTTCCCTAGAAGGATTTGATGTTTTTATATTTTCCATCTGAAAGAAATATCATGAGGTTTGCTTTGTATGTTTAGGTTGTTATTGTATGTGATAGTTATGTATGTTACTATGTAGGCAAAGGAAGTTGTTAGATCCTCAAATCCTTGCCTTTCAGGCTTTTCTAACAAAGAATCTTTTCTTGCATAAACATATTAATTGGTTGATTAGGCACAGGAGAGGAGACAGGGCAGAGAGAACTGGGGGACAATAACTAGGAGGTCCATATGCACAGATTATAAACCAGACCGGTCTGGTGGGGGTTTCATACAAGGTATCAAGTTCTAAAGCAAAGATGCTGAATCCAAAGTCGAATCGACTAGGAAATGCCAAACCCTGGAGGACTCAGATGCGAGCATGTTCAGAAGCAGTTTCACTCGTAGGGAGATCCTCTTCAGGGATATCGAGAAGTGACGGTTCCGGCTTGTGGATCCGGACAAGGCAAAGGAAGTAGTCCTCCAGCGGCAACAGATTGAGCAGCATCCGATTAAAATACCACCCCAAGGCACATACAAGAGCTCCCGCGACAGCATCCAGAATGAAATGGTTAGCAGTAGCAACAATAGCTACAAGGATGGTAAACGGATATAAGAATCCGAGTGTGACGCAAACAAGGCGGCGCCATGACGGGAGGTTCAATCTCAGGACACGGGTCAGCCTGGTACGCAGGATTGTGCGCCGGTGGTGTTGTGGCAAAGGTATTGTCATCAGTGTGAGGCCGATCATTAAAGAGTACCCAAAATGCAAAGAAGGCATTGCCGCTGCTCACAGTAAGTCAAGGATTCGTCGAGAAAACTCAGGTCAGACAAGACTTGCCATATTGATTACAGAAGCGGTTTTCTGTCCACACACTGCCTGATCCATTGATACCATGCACCGTGTCCACGAATCCATAACTGCGGCCAAGATCCGCCTCTTCACCATCCGCGGCTGGGTCACTTAGTAACCGAGGTGGCATGCAAGGCCAAAGAGTGAAAACCACGAATGCGAGAAGATTGCACACGGCCAAAGTCCGCCGGCGGGCCTGGTATAGTAGAGGACCTGCAGGCGACCCGCTCACAGCACCCATGGGCTTGCCAGGCTGGGGCTCATCGATTCGATTCCGCACTGTAGTATAGTAATAGAGCCAGACAAGAAATGCGATTGTCCCGGGAATGTGTATGAAGGAGTATATCCAATTGATCCAAGGCATGACAAGGGGCTGGCGAAGGAAGTGTCTTTGAATCAAGGTCTCCCATAATATACCAAGATTCTCCTCGATCACGATTAGTTGCAATGCATGTCTCCTCGCAACATCGACAGTGTCATCCTTGAGAGTGACGGCGGTAAAGGCGCGACCGAGCTGGTACGTCTGCACAAATTTGTGAGTTATGGGGTTGGCCAAGGCTGAAGGTAAGGAAGCAAATAGCCAAATCAACCTACCCAGTAAACCAAAGCCCAATACCAACATTCCACCAAGAAAGGAAACTTTCGGAGCAACCGGCTGAGCAAGCGGTCTTGGAAGACGATCGTATTCGGCGATGACACTTCGAAATTCAACCCCAGGAGTCCAATATGTCGCTTGTGCCATCGATCTTCTGGGGCTTGTGGTGAGTGGGACCGAGAACCCAACAGGCCATCCTTTGTCGATTGGCTTGAGTATCCCGACTCCAAAGAATCAGATGAAGCTGCTCGTTGAAGGTCGTTCGAGTTCCGTCGGCTGTAGCGTCGAGTCGAGGATGATCCCTCAGAGCGGTTGATCCAGGTGCCTCCAAACAAGAGGACAATAACCACCAGAGGCTCTATGACCGCTCCAGCTCCCATGGTTTGGATATCAAAGGAACCAGTATCTATATACCGCTTCTCAAAGGGAAAAGGGAAGAAAAAAGATGCCCTAGCAACATATAATAAAGTACTTTAAGAATGAGAGGATTTGGGATGTGGAGATAGCTGAGGGGGATTCAGGGCCATCTGGTTGTGTTCAAAACAGAGAAATGGCCAGGGCAGGTGCCAGGGCAGCCAGAGCATCCAGGACAGCCGCGGGAGTCACCGGAATCAACGGAATCAACAGCTCTGGGGTCTCCTTTTTTCTTTTTTTCTTTTGTGCTTTTTTACCATGGGCATACATACACCGGGGCATACTGTATGTTGAATAATGTTTCAAAAGGGGAGTCCACAAGGCTGGTTTTGTTTCTTGGCGGTCGTGGATACAGCGGGACAGATAACATTCCATACTTCGGTATCCCAGTTGATTGGACAATACTGGACAATACTGGAATTATACAACGGACATAAAAAGTTATACGAAGATGCATGTGACCTCTTACCATATTAGAAATCAACGCCAAGACATTACAATTGTAATTTAAAGCTATACTTCGTACTCGTACTGGTATTCGTACAGGTGTGTATTATAAAATATGCATAAAGTACCTCGGACCTCTTCTTACCGATCTCCGAGACCACTTCGCCTTAGACAGTCTCCGGTATCCGAGCCGGTGCTAGTCTTAGTACATGTTAGCGTAGTCCTAGTGTATATGAACGTGGATATATACAATATATACATATAGATATATACGTACATGGAATGAATCTCTTTTCTTGTCTTGAGGTACCTAGTGCATATGTACCTGTACAGATATATTGCAATATCTTGTACAGAGTACGGAGTACATATGTATTATGTAGTAAATAAAGTGATGTAATATTTTGCTTGTTCCTACGTAATATCTGATATTTGATGAAGTCCGTTTGACGTCAACCCTTTCCCCTAACATATACATTGAATATGAATACTACGTAGGTTCGACTCAACGTTCGATCCAGCAACTCCGTAAATATGTTTGTTAATTCACTTACAGTCAGACGCGTTATGAGCCGCGCCTCATCACAAGCGGCCATTACTTTGTCAACCTCATCCAGGCACTTTTCTACCACCCCGAATATATACCAAGGAGTCACTCTTTTGCAAGACAAGAAAAATGGGTTTGGCTTCGCACGGTCAAACCCTAGACCTGCCAAGCCCAGAACAAGGGGGGTCACTGAGATCAGAGGCCCATACTACTCAGTAGGTGCCATATAGCTCCTATTATCATTTTTCCCCCGTGGGGTTAACCTAAATCAGGTCATGGGCAAAAGGTATCTCGCAGATATCCTCGAAACGTAATGTTCCGAAATCTCACTACTCATCAAATGATATCTGACAGCATCTGATAGGATGGGCGACCATGTAGATGGTCTCAAGTTTGCCGGAGGTGAGTCCCAACAGGGCTTCGGTTCTCGCCAGAAACGAGAGCGCTAAGACACACCCAGGTGCTTTTTCTCTCTTTCACGAGAAACCACTACGGGAATTGGTCGATCTTGCCCATGAGCACGGCGTGTACATCTCAACGGTAAGACTGTCCTAGACCAAAAAATTAGCACATTTGGAAGCATACTCTTGACACCAAATCTCGTATCTCAGGGTGGATGGGCTGAGCATCTCCTCACACACCCCGATCCGAATACGGTATTTGACCGCTACTTGAAGAAATGCAAGGATCTCGGGTATGTGTACCCCCAGCTCGAGGTCCAAGTGCCTGAAATGTAAAATCTGACTAGTCAACATAGACTCGACGTCATTGAACTTTCTTCCGGTTTTCTATCAATTCCAGAGGATGACTGGCTTCGCCTTATTGAAAAAGTCCACTCATACAAGTTGGAACCAAAGCCTGAATTGGGGATTCAATTCGGAGCTGGTGGAGACACACCTGCTTCGGGACTTGAAGCAATTGGGACCTCGGACCCCGGAAAATTAGTGAACTTGGGTCGTAAATTCCTTGACGCTGGGGTGAAGCGGTTGATGATCGAATCAGAAGGCATCACTGAAAACGTCAAGTCCTGGCGGACCGATGTGGTGTCAAGGATCATGAAGGAGCTTCCTCCCGAGCGTGTCATGTTTGAGGCTGCAGATCCCAAGGTCTTTAATTGGTACGTCCGTGAGTTCGGTGTTGATGTCAACCTCTTTGTGGATCACAGCCAGATTGTGCAGTTGGAATGCCTGCGGGCTGGCATCTGGGGCACTGCCGACACCTGGGGCAAAATAGTGTCGTTCCGGCCATAATCCTCGGAAAGTTTTTGGAATTGAAGTATATTTATTCTTGTTATATTGATGTATCAATGCGTTATCCGAGATTTTGAATCCAAATCCATCTTCATCTATGTACGACTCTGGAGGTGCCTGGGTAGGTGGGGTGAATACGCTTAGTCATATAGTGGAGTCCGGGGAAAGCAGACGCCCGCACTTAAGCGGTCTCTAGCATCACATTAGATCTCAACGATGACTTGAATCAATCCAAATCGCCCCCGAATCAATCGATTCAGACCATGCCTCGATAATTACCGCCAAAGCCCCGGACTAGTGGCCCGACCTATTCATCAAACGGGATCGCGGCGATCGGGATGCCTCGGGCCAGCACTACCCCGGGGGCACGGCTCCGATGCCGACGAGCCTGCGACAGCTGTAAACGGCGGAAACAGAAATGCAACGGTGAACAACCATGTACAATCTGTGTTCAGAGGCACAAAGAGTCGGAATGCCTTTTCTCGGATCGGCCCGCACGCCTACTCAAGCCAGACGCCAAGGACTCGACAATGTTGCTCAGTGAGCGCATGGTACCATCTCCGCAGCGCGAAACGGCCATGGACCGCCTCTTGAACTCCCTCGAGGATCAAGGAATGAATGTGGAACACCAGGAAAAAGATGAGAAGGCAGGGACAGCTCCTGTGCCAAAAGTGGCGCGGCTTCTGCGCGATGGCCAGGGGAAGTATATGTATATTGGTGATTCGGCGAGTTTGTCATTTTTACAGAGTCTGCGCCGTGTTGTGACATCCTCCATTGGCCGATGTGAGTTCACCGAGGACAACTCACGACATTCAATGCTCGAGGCCTTTCAGAGCAACCCAAACACTCAGTCCGGAGCTCTAGTTACGCCACCAAAGAACGAAGAAGCCCAACGACTAGCTCGTCAGTTTGTGCTTGCTACAAGCCCATTGCTTGACTTGTTTGATCTGGAAGAGTTCCACCCACGGCTAGCTAATTGGGTTGCAAACCCATCGGGCGACGAAGATACTGTTAGCTCTATCTTCTATCTTGTCATTGCCATTGGGGCTCAGGTTTCCGATATTGATCAGACAGTAGCTGAACAATATTTTGGCAGTGGTCGCCAATTGGCCTTCTCGGCCTTTCAGGAAACTCCAAGCATATCCACCATTCAATCATACATTTTGGTTTCCATGTATATGCTTGGCGCATGCAGGCGCAATGGTGCATTTATGAATCTGGGGATTGCTCTACGTGCTGCCTACGCGGCCGGGATTCACCGCAAGGATGCAAACGCGCTCTTTTGTGGACGTGAGCGCCGAGCGAGGGAGCGAGTTTGGAAGAGTCTTCGGATGATGGATCTATTCCTTAGCGCCTCCCTGGGACGCCCTCCCGCAACTTCAGATTACGACTATGACAGTCGTGAAGATGCTCTCATATCAGGAGAATCACAACCCAATTTAACCGCAGACCAACAGCTTTCTGCTGCGGTTATTTCGCTTTGTCGAATATTCGAACGGATCTTGACTGATGTGTACATGAAGCAAGTCATATCGATCAATGTTGCGGAAACGATTTCCAACCAGCATCGAGCTTGGGTTCGCATTCTGCCAGCAATCCTCAAAATTCAGGCTGGGCGGCTCGAAACTAAATCCATGGAAAACAGCCTAGCTGCAGCTCATGTGTTTGGGTCATATTACTGGTCGATCATCTTGTTGACAAGGCCATTCCTTATATACCGTGTCGCCCAGTATGTCAAGGGAAAACCCGATTTATCCGAAACTCGAAACGGTAGCTCCCGAATATCGTTGTTTGCAGATGCATGTGTCTATTCCGCACTTCGTGGTCTAGACATGGTCGATGATCTCAGCCAGTATACCTCCCTTCCACGTCGACTACCCTTCTTGATCAACTCTGTTTTTAATTCTGTTATCGTCCTCGGCGCTGCATTCTTCGCCGACTACGATAATCTCCTCCCCTTGGAAGAAGGAATGAATAAAGCGGAACGGTTCCTAGAGCTATTTGTCCCGCACGATCCACATGCATGCCGTTTCTTCCAGATTATCAAATACCTCCACGCTGCTGTAACCGAGTACGTTTCCCGGCGAAACCGACAATGGATGAATAGGCGCAGCAAACAGGTCGACCAGCTTTTTGGCCAAGTAGGTGGTGATGAGGATCGTAACTCCCCGACCCCAGAAGCTCTACCTTTCACTCGTCCAAGTGGTACTCATTCATCTGCATCCGCCGCTGCACTATCTCCTACCTCCCCCAACAAAATGCCCCTTGGAACTCCATCCTCCTACCCCCCCTCCCAACCACCCCCTCAATCCCAACTTTCAACCGATAACGATGTCTGGGAAGCCCTATACAATGGCTCAGACCCCACCGCCACTTTGTCCTACGATGCAGCCATCTCTGCATTAACTACCTCGGGCATCCCTCTGGGTTGCTCTCCCGGTGGGACTATTCCTTCTGGCCCACCCCCAGTGTCAGGTCCATCCCCGCTTTCTGACGTGATGTTCCCGGATAATGGTCTGCTGTACATGGCTGAAGATCTTCCGGTCTTTGGCATCTGGGGGGATGAACCGTGATTGCCCAGTCTCAGAAAACAAATTGTGTCTCAAAAATTAAGGATGTGTGATGGAAAGGGGGGAGTACTAACAGGTCTGGTGTGTTCTTATTTCGGAGGATGTCTATGTCCATGATGCCCCTCATACTTTTTCCGTCCATACAATCGGACGTGTTTATTAATATATATATACCCCCAAGGGCGAATGGATTCAATTTTTTTACATCTTGTCGTGGCGTTGGTCGAATTTCAGAGCGCACCAAAATGACCAAATCGGGAAAAGGATGCATGTGATGTGATATGAGTATACTTTATCGCACTTCTCCTCTTTGAGTTCCTCACGACCGCACCTCGTCTTTGCCGGTGAACTGTACGTTTGAGTCCCAATCATCCCCCGTTCTCGATATATTCTAAATGAAATGGCATCCAAAGACCTGGATGTGGCAAGTTAGTACCAAGTCAAGGCAACACGCCGATTCTTCGAGCCTACCGTCGCGCAATCACCGGAGTCATCGGAAGGCGAGAATCTCTGGCTAAATTCAATGGTCTCATCGAATTGTTCTGGCAATGATACTGTCCCCGGATGTTTCAACGCACAGCCCAAGTCGAGATGAATAAGTTGTTTGGCAAGCCTACTTTACTATCGGCAACCGGTCGGGAAAGGCTGCCCTATGTGAATGCTATTGTCAAAGAAGCTACCAAATGGCTTACTGTCACACCCTTGGGCATCCCTCACCGAACGGACGAAGACGATATCATTAATGGTTATTTGGTTCCCAACAATGCAATCATTGTACCGAATACATGGTACTATCATCCATACATATCTATGTACCACCTCTGCTGTGCTAGCGGATATCTAGGTCGTTCAACAATGACCCGACGATATATCCCAACCCCTGGGATTTCGAACCCGAACAGTTCCTTTCCGAATCAGGTGCTCTTGATCCGGGAGACGTGAGCTTCGGTTTCGGTCGAAGAGTTTGCCCTGAGCGTTCGATTGCTGAAACTTCGATCTTTCTCATAGTTGCCCCACACACGCTGGCCGTCTTCGACATCAGAAAACCAGCAGGAAATGGCGAGGAAATCAAGAGCATTCTCGATTCCACAGTTGGCCATCTGATCCACGTTGTCCCTTTTAATGTCAATTACACCACGAAGATAGGAACTCGAACCTCTCATAGTTTATTTTGAGCAAACACATCCTTTTGAAACAGACTCGAAGGTCTTGGCAGATGTCTATCATTGGCCAAATGGGGAAAAGGGTGCGCTGGGCGGGTCTGTGTTCTCCGGCTGTGCTCAACTTCGGAGACGTCATATACTACACGCCGTTTTCTGACATCGACAAGGGTCTTGATCCTTATCGTTCTGCCTTTTCCCCCCTTTTTCGAGTTCGAGTATCACCTTGCGCCCACAACATCACATGCAACATGCCAGGGGTCCCATCCAGTAAAGGGTGCGATGCCTGTCGAAAAGCGAAAAAGAAGGTATTTACTTTACTTGTCACGGAATTGTCGAATATCAATGCTGATGAACATAGTGTGACGAACAACAACCCTGCTCACGGTGCCTCAGGCTTAAGGTACCTTGTGAAGGAAGCGGGCAGCAGCGGTATCAATTCAAGAATGTCAAATCAACACCAAGACCCAAAGCCAAAGAGAAAGCAATTCGAGTTCGATCGAATTTGAATATCATTTCGCAAGCCCCTTGCAATCCACTAGCCAATCGGTTCATCGGAACTCTGGAGATAAGCGATATTCGCTTTGATATCTCGTTTTATGGCTCCTTTCTCAAGGATCTTCCCAGACGACTCGGAGAAAGTGCAGTGTTGGATGCTGCCGCGGAGGCTTTGGTCTCTTCACACCCCTTTCTCCATAGTGTGCGTGGTAAAGAAGTTCCCCGTGACGCGTTGATGGGGTTTGGGAAATCCGTAAAGGCATTACGGCAATCTCTGGACAATCCAGTTGAGATTCGATCGCCACATACCCTCTGTGCTATTTATCTCATCTCAATCTGTCAGGTATGATTCTAATTTAGGTCTCTTCGATCTTCCATGCTGAGCTCGGTTGTTTAGGCTTGGCTTGGGAAGTACGAGAAGCAATCAGTAAGCCATGGGACAGCCATCGCACATTTACTCAAGATGGTAGATATCTCTAGCTACAAAAGTGAATTCGAAAGAGACTTAATCGTCACGTTGAGTGTGCCGGTGGTATGTAAAGCTTTCCAAATATGAACCTCGCTACTTCACTAATCCCACCAGATCCTGGACGGAATATGCAATCCGCGAGTTCAAATGGCTCCAAGTTTCTGGAACGACTTGGTGGCTCTCGTCCAGCAAGGCTTCTCCTCAGCCCCGGATAGTATACCACGATCAACCATGACTCTACTATCGCTTTCAAAGTTCCCGGAATACCTTCACCACCCACACTCTCATATTCCCGAGATCACCGCAGCATATACGAAGCTTCAAGAAGACGCACAGAATATCTACTCATATCTAGACCACCTCATTGAACCCGCCGGCCTGTCCTCCCTGGTCCATGGTCGACGATCGCGCCATCGAGCAGCATATACCGTGGTCATTGCTTTAGCACTTCTTCTAAACACTATTCTCCGCGTACTGGATCTAGAAAACACTGTGCTCGCCACAGAGTCAAGCTTTTTTTGCGAGAGAATCATCAACGAGGCGGAGTTGGCTTCCTGTTACCGTCCAATTGGTGCTGCTTATGCCGTACCATGTCTCGTCGTTGCCTTGGGTACTGCAGAATCTCGACAGCAGCTAGCCCGCATTGAGGCTACATTGACGGATTACCAGACCGACTTCGGGGGGTTTGAATGGAGGGAGCTTGCTACGTGGCTCAGAGCTGTATTTCACAGCCATCGCGTACAGGAAACCCTGATATCCACCGATGTAGATGTCCTAGCTTCGGGGGTTCCAGGAGCTTGTATGACCCAGCTACAGGCTATATTCGGACTCTGTTTATATTCGGATTGTAATAAAACAACCCCTTCTGAGCGGGATCACTGATGCTTCGTGAATCTTCCTTTTGATGGCTAAATCACGCATATGTTATGTGAGGCTGAGAGATAAGAAAGGAAATGGCCACATTTTAAGTCATGATATACTTATGTTCACATTACTGGAAGGACTTCGATCTGGGTAGCGGTGCCTAGAAATATATACTTCATGGAGTAAGTAGACCAGGCTAAATACTGATAACTCCATGGATTATGTATGAGTTGGTAACCAGGGAGAGAACAAGAGCAAAAAAAGTGAACATCCAAGCGACAAAATGAAACGGAGAAAGAGAGGACATCCACACAATGAGCATCACCATAGACAGATTTATATGACAGTAAGCTAGAGACAATGAAACATGCAGGATATGGGGGGCATGACCAGATCTGTCACAGAGCACAGGGAAAGAATATGGATAGCTCGCTAAGTGCGGGAAGTTTGCAAGGGGGAAAGAGGAAGAGGATTCGTGGCATGAGCTTCGATACGCGCTGCGTCAAAACGGGGACCAGGGTCATGATATGTACACGTGTTTATTCCAAGCGCACTGGTTCGAAAGGACAAGCTGCGATATGTGAAAATGACATCCCGGCCTCAGAATGAGCAAAACTTCAGGGCAACATAGGGAGAATTGCCGGAAATCAGGATTATATACGCCAGTTTAGTATGGGCGAACGCAGAAAGCAGATTAGAAGCCGAACGGATTATTGGGGGCTGTTGATCGTGTTAGTTTCTGTTGCTTCTATCACCTGTAATAGTATGAAAAAAACACTTACTAGCTTGCGAAAGGTTGGCTCTGAGTCCAGTCGGCTGTGGCTCAAGCTTCTTGGGGCCATCTGGCTTGACACCAAATCTGATGGAGGGAGGCGGACCGGTCTTCTGTGGCGACAGAGGAGTGACTGTTGGTTGCTGGGGAATTGGCGGCACTGGGGGCGGAGATGTATAGGATTGGTTGCCGTAGCCATTGACACCAGTGGGTTGCGGTTGCAGTGCAGGAGGAAGAACAGAGTTGATACCGGTCTGCATTGGTTGTTGGAATTGCCCATATCCACCAAAGCCTGTGGGCTGCGGCCCAAGTCCTTGGAACCCAGTTTGTTGAGGGGCCATAACACTAAACGGCTGCTGCTGCTGCTGCTGGATACCGAATTGTGACTGGGGAGTAAACGCTGTTGGCTGCGGCATCAAGGCGTTCTGGTATTGGTTTTGACCCATAAATCCTGTCGCTTGCGGCTGCATTGCTTGGTAACGCTGCTGGCTTATTTCACTTAGACTTTGGCCAGGGGGGGCAACAGGAGGGCCCGTCTGGGGGAGGCCTGTCAGTTGAGCCTGCAATGGAGGAGGACCAAAGGAGTTTTGCTGTTGCGAAAAGTTTTGAGGCGCGGACAGTGGGCGCTGGGGAGGCGGAGGCGGAGGTAGAAGTGAGTTTTGTCCAACTACCTGAGGGGCCTGAGGACGTTGCCTAGCCTGTGCTTGGAACCCAGTCTGCTGAGGGCTGAAACCTTGTTGATGCTGTCCGATCTGTGCCACTTGCGCAAACAAGCTGGGAGTAGCACCGGTTTGCTGAGCCTGTTGTGCAGCTGGTGGTTGCACGGCAGTGGCTTGTGGCTGTAAAGCAGGCATGGGCGGGGCAGGCTGTGCAGTAGGCTGAGCCGGTGTCGGTTGCAATGGAGTTTGGAGCAAAGTCAGATCCGCCATTGCCCCTGTTGGCTGAGGAACCTGAGCTGCTGCGGGCGGTGGGGTCGGAGTGGCAACTGCAGATGGCCTAGCAGGCTGCTTCGGCTGCTTCACCTCCCAAGCATCATCTTCAAATCCGGTTGCAGCAGGCTTTTCAGCTGCCGCAGGGGGTGGTGGGCTCGCCGAGCTATCTGGTGATTTAGGTTCGTCTCCCTGTCCGAACGCTTTGGGATCAACCTCTCCGGCTTGGACGTTGGGTGTCGGTCTGCCCCTGCGAGTGTTGTTACGCAGCACACCACCGGGTCCGGAAAACAGGCCACCTTGCCCTCCGTCCTCGCCATTTCCAATGTATTCCTCGCCGCCGAAACTGACGTTTCGAGGCTTGGATTTGTCCGGGGTACGGCCATATTTAGCATCCAAAACCTTCATCACTCGCAAGGTATCGCCCTGGTTTAGACCTAAATTCTGAAGGATTTCAGATGTGATGTCAGGCAGCACAGATTCGTCAATCGCATCTTTGTTAAAGGATTGTGCATATCGCTCACAGCGATGTGGCCCAACACCAGCCTTAAGGAAGAAGTCAAACCAATCGTAGTCGGAACGCTGCACAGAGGCCCCAGACTTGGAAGCCCCGGATTTGGAATCTTTGTTAACGGAAACCCGAGGTCGGATGCTTGAAAGAGGTTTGTCCTCATCCAGCGAAACACCGGCGACCTTCTCCACATGCTCGAGATCTTCAACAGACATCTTCGAGACAGGGACGGCAATCTTGATACCGTTCACCTTATGAAGCTGGATTTTGCCATCCTGGAGACCTATGAACTGGGCTTCCACTGTGAAGTCCTTGGTCCGATCCGTCCACTTTCGTACTTTAGTCGGATCAGGCTTCGACTTGATCTTGCTGTCGCGCTTGCTGTGACGGTCCGATGAATCCATCGAGTCCGTCCGTGACTTGCCCAGCGCAAGTTTGGACAGCCGCATCTCCTCCATCCGGTTCTTTTCCACGCTCGACAGGCCTGGTTCGTTAGGCATTGGTGGCGCCTTGGGTATCAACCCTGTGACTTCGACATAGCTGCTGGGAACAACACCCTCCTTGTTGTTCTTCAATCGTCGCACCATCCACCACTCTTCGGACTTGGTATCATCAAGGACGATGACCTCGTCTCCCACGGCTACTGTAACTTCATCATCGCCTTGCGCCATGAAGTCATACAGGATCTGGCCCTTCTTTGGACCACCGCCTTCTCCCGCCTCGAGCACCTCGCGTAACCCTTCTGCCCGGTAGGCACCGGCGATCTCACCAAGTGCCGCTGCAATCTCGTGAGCAGTATCTTTGGCACCTGCATGGAAATCGATGCTCTTGCTAGGCCGGATAAGATCGATAAAGACATGCTTGCCTTCGATGGAGTAATGAGTGAGTTTCTCCGCAGTCCATTCTTTCTGCCGATCATCACCCTCGGGAGAAATGAAGATGATTCCAGTAGCCATGTTGATTCCCAATGTAGTCGGCATCTTCTTTCTCTTGCCCATAACTTCAACCATCTCATTGATGTTGTAGATATGATAGCCGGAAGGTGACCGAGGCGTCATCTCACCTGCCCGGTTGTAAGGGGGAGATGCTTTGACCCGTGTTCCATCCTGACCCATGGCAGGCGCCGTCTGCCGAGGACGGGGGGGTGGAGTTGGGTCAGGCGAATAACGGTTCATAGGCGGGGACGCATGTTCTGAGGGTGGTCGACGCGGCAGACTAGGCGGCGGAGACTCCTCACGCTCCTCTGCTTGATCGTACGACGGCCGGACCGGAAGACTGGGTGGCGGGGGCTCATCTCTAGTTGTCTCGGCAGGTGCGCCCGTAGGGGCATGCTGCTTGTGAATGATACTGGCGATCGCAGCAGCAGCGGGGTTATGAGACATATCAACCGGAGAGCCGGCGGGCGATGCCTCAGTTTCTTCCGGAGCAGTCTGCGTCGGCCGCTGCGGAAGCGTCGGCGCGGCAGGCTCGGCTCGGGTAGAAGGCGGAGGGGCAGTTGTTGCATCGGAAGTATCCTCGATGATTTCGATGTAATTCGACGGCGCAAATCCATACTCCGAGTTATATCCAACCAACGTCCAATCCGGATCCGAAGTATCATAAACCATCAGCTCAGCATCTTCTGAGAAGGAAACCTCCTCGTCGGTCTGTCGCGTGTAATCGAAGAGGGCTGTGGCTTTGTGCGCTGGTGGTGCCTATTTCATCTAATGTCAGCAATTGTTCATGCAACGAATGGCTGCGCGGATGCATTCCATCGGCGGAGACTCACCTCTTCGACATAGTTGTTGGGGACTAGGCCTTCAGGTTCGTCTTCATCCTCCCGGCTAGCCTTCTTTTTAGCCCTCCACCAGTCATCATCCGTATTCTTTTCCAAGATGTAAAGGAGGTCGCCTTCGTGAATCTCGAGTTCGCCGGCTCCCTGTGGCTGGTAGTCGTACACAGCCGAGTAGACACCGATGAAACCCATATTGGAAATAAATCGTGATCCGACGGCACCGATCAATTATGACGACAGTCTGCTGCAATTGGCAGCGTGTCAACGTGCCAGCTCTAGATTTCGCAGTGATGTAGTTGGGGGGGAGACTGGGTGTAATTGGGGACGCCGTTGATCGGTCAGCCTTGGCGCTCCTTAGATCGCGGAGCAGGGTAAGTCGGATGCGAATGAGATAACGGAGAGGTAGATAAAACGATCTAGGCGCAAGGGATTGAGAGAGGGGAGAAAGAAGAAGAAAAGGTGGAGGTTAGATTAGGGAGAGAGAGGGAGAGGGCGGGAAGGTGGGCCAGGCGATTAGGGAGTTTACAGTCACGTTGCCTCGTTGCTTATGGGTGCTTTTTTGAACATTCTCTTCAATTGAATGCTTTTGCTAATCTTTGGGAGTTCCTTTTCTTGCCATCATTTGTATTTGGATTCTCTTAATTCTCTTAATTCTCCGGTAACCTACTTTTCTATTTAAAAGCGCCGGCTCCGCAGCTGGGGCAACTGACGTACATCTACGGGCGACAGTATATCACTGTTTTATTGTTTTATCCTCTCTTGATTAGTATAGCCTTGAGATTGTGTGGAATTGAAGTTAAATTGACTGCATCTAACCCTATGAGGCTTCTTAGCCTAAAGTTGTCTAGGACTAAGGTGCGTAAATTCCACAAAGTGTACATAGTTATATGCGGAGCACGAGACAAATCCCGTCTACATACTACATTCTTCCAAGGCAAATGAATTGAA